ATGTTTTAGGGTTTCAGGATTGTTGTATTCTCTGTTCGGCTTAGTTTTTCGGATCTTTGCTGTGGAGGGACGGTGTGGTGCTTCTGCCTAGAGCGCCATTTTGCCGGAACTCCCCCAGAGTTTATTCTTATTGATACAGTGGGAGGGGTGCCTATTGCACATACCTACAGTAATATTTACAATAGTACTTTGTAATCATTTATCTTGGCAGTGTGCTTTTTGGATACAAGGTTTATTTTAGAATATGAAACAAAATGTTAAGTCATGAATAACCAAAACCCAAAAAAACCAAACCCATTGCCGTCGAGTTGGTTCTGATTCTGAGCAACCCTATAGGACAGAGTAGAACTGCCCCACAGGGTTTTCATGGAGCGGCTGGTGGATTCCAATAACCAGCTTTTTCGGCTGGTGGATTCCAATAACCAGCTTTTTCGGCTGGTGGATTCCAATAACCAGCTTTTTGGTTAGCAGCCAAGCTCTTAACCACTGTGCCACCAGGGCTCCAACAAGCCCATGAACAGTTTTTTTCTGGTAAAATCTGAAGAATATACTGTTAACCAGAGGCTGTCCTCAGTTGTATGTATAGTAGTTCAGCTTCTTGATGAATGCTTTTTAGTTAGAAATTTTGCAGTGGAAAAGATTAGATATCCACATGACAAGATAGTTTGACTCTGAAATCATGCAATCTTTATTGTCTTTAGCATCACCTTTTAAAAATAGAATTCTGGATTTAGGAGGACCTAGACTTCCTGCTTTTCAGATGGGACATTGCCTAAACCACTTCTGCCCATTCAAAAGATAACCTGAGAAAATGCATTCTGTTACTCCTCTCAGGATCTTGCTCCGATATTTGTTAATGTAGTCGGGAAATTCTCAGTGATTTAATAACCTAAAAAGTTTTGTTCCTCTTGCATTGAAGGATGGGAGGAGTGCTGCTCAGTCAGCATTCCACCAACTAAAAATGAAACATTTGCCACTGGAAACTCCTGGCTGCACCATTCATGTTCCTATGTGGATATCAAGACCTGAAGATGTTCTTGTACATATACAGTGTTGTTGTTAGGTGCTGTTGAGTTGGTTCCGAGTCATAACGACCCCATGTACAACAGTATGAAACACTGCCTGGTCCTGCGCCATCCTCACAACCGTTGTTGTGCTTGAGGCCATTATTGCAGCCACTGTGTCAGTCCATCTCGTTGAGGGTCTTCCTCTTTTGATGACCCTCTACTTTGCCAAGCATGATGCCCTTCTCCCACGGACTGCTCCCACCTGACAACATGTCCAAAGTGTTTGAGACAAAGTCTCGCCATCCTTGCTTCTAATGAGCATTCTGGCTGTACTTCTTCCAAGACAGATTTGTTTGTTCTTCTGGCAGTCCATGGTATATTCAATATTCTTTGCCAACACCATAATTCAAAGGCATCAATTCTTTTATCTTCTTTATGCATTGTCCAGCTTTCACATGCATATGAAGCAATTGAAGACACCATGACTTGGGTCAGGCACACCTTAGTCCTCAAAGTGACATCTTTGCTTTTGAACACTTTAAAGAGGTCCTTTGCAGCAGATTTTTTTTTTTTTTTTTAGATTGGTTTCTGCTATGTATGGCAGTACATAGGAGGGACCAATAAAAGTACCTTAAAAAGCTTTTAGTTTTGAAAATACACTATTTATTGTTTGGAGCAAAAGTACTGATGTTTTATAGCTAAAAAATATATACTATTTTCCTGCTCTTAGAATTGCTCGTCAGAAGTTAAGCAGGTAGTAGGTGTGTATGTAATATTTAAAACCAGCCTTTTCAGGTGCTATTGCAGACAGACTCTGATACCAGATTTTTGCATAGAGAATTGACCTGTTTTGCATTGGCTTAGTTACTAGGTTAAATATTTGTTTTAGAGGATATCAGATATGGTTTCTCTGACTTTCTGACTAACTGGTATTTTCTGTAAGAAGTGTGTTGTCTATCTCAGCAAAGTATGGGTAATTTTCTTACAGCAGGCTGCTTGATTAATTTACCAGAGCTCTTAAATCACATCTGTTTCTTTTACTTAAAAATCTAGGTTAAATCATTGTCCACCAGATAGATAGATGCCTGATGATCCTCTGGGAGAGTTCTGCCTGAGCTCTGTGATAGTTTTTATGGTGTTATTGGCTCTGGAAACTTAACTGAAGATGTTGTTGGGTGCCATCAAGTTGATTTTGACTCATAGCGACCCCATGTGAACTGCTCCATAGAGTTTTCTTGGCTGTAATCTTTACACAAGCAGATCACCAGGTCTTTTCTCGAGGAGCTGCTAGGTGGCTGAGTCACCAACCTTTGGATTAAGCAGGTTAGCAGCTGAGCGCTTAACTCTTTGCACCACCAGGGCTCCTTAACTGAAGATAGATCATAGTTACTCATCTAACAGTAGTGTCTATTTGATATCTTACCAGATTTTGACCTTTTATACATTTTTTCACCTGTTAACTTTTCTAATTTCCCCAGGTAGTTATTTTCTTACTAATATATAATTTCTGCCTATTTCTCTTAAACCTTTTTCCCTGCTGTCCTTTATCTTCTAATCCTGAGAGATTCTGAGGCTTCCTGAATGCTAGCAGGATTGGCTTGGTGTGGGAACAAACTTTTGATGAACCTGTTGACCATAGAAATCTGTGCCTACTTTTTATTACTGAAACTTTTTGCACTATTAACTTGTTTAGCAATTTTTTCCCTCATAGGCAAAACTCAGGAATTTCAGTCTGACCTCCTTTTGAATTTTTCCCAATTTCAGCAATGGTGGGATCTGAACTCACAGTTTTTAAGAAGTTTATAATATACCAACTGAGAATGCAGTAAGGTAGTCATGGAAATCCATGGATTTTCATGGAGTGCCACATTCGAAGAGACTTAGGTCAGTGTCTCACTTGAGTCTCATTGCCTTGGTAACTCTCCTTGGGTTTGGTGCTCCATCTGTGTGCGTTCCATTTCTCCCGCACCAGTAAACTGGTTGCCATCAAGTCGATTCCAACTCATGATGACCCTATGTATGTCAGAGTAGAACTGTGCTCCATAGGGTTTTCAATGGCTGATTTTTTGAAAGTAGATAGCCAGGCCTTTCTTCTGAGGCATCTCTGATTGCACTTGAACCTCCAAAGTTTTGGTTATCAGCTGAGTGCATTAACTGTTCGCACCATCCAGGGACTCCATTTTTTCCATAGCCCTGGTTGTTTTCTCCTTACGGACCTTCCCCCTTCTTGTCTTTCAGAATGAAGTGTCAGAGAAACAGTCCCTGCCTGTAGCTGCTTATCAGGCTATGTAGGGTGGAAGCCTTGGGTATGTCCTCTTGTGCTCTTTCTGGGCTACAGAATTAGTGAGAAAGGAAGGGTATTAGTGAGAAAGAGAAAGCTTGCCGTTTGGCTTAGTGTAAATGTTTGTTAGCGTAAAAATTTGGTGAGGCCTCATATGGTCCTCTAAAGTTTATTAGATAAGAAACCTTCAGGTTTTTATATGCATGTTAAAGTAAAGAGCTGGTAGTCACTTACTGTTCAGATCCTATCAATAGAGAAATAAAGTATACAATCAAATATAAATTTATTTTTACATTAATAAGTTATAATAAAGCCATTCCCTGTAGAAAGAATAGGGTATTTTGGCTAAATTAGAATTGGAAATAATCTAGGAATTAAAATAATTCTAAGTGAAGATAGTATGATATCTGGTAACATCTTTATAGGTTTGATTTGTTTATTTTCTGATGAAGGACAGTAGAGCATGCAAATGAAGGAATAAGTTCTTTTTTTTAGCTTTCTGCTTTCTCGGATTTTAAATTACTACTCCCACTTCAGAAAATGCTTCAATTACTAAATGAATATTTGCTTTATGAAATGATTCATAAAAATTCTTTAGTATATTAGGCCTTTTCAATAATTTTTTTATCTTAAAATCAGTTATTATTCGACATGATTTTGGTTAGCGGTATGAGATACTTTAAGCTGTAGTATCTACTTCCATTTGAAGACTCCTTACAGAGTTTTTTTCAGAAATGACATTGACACTTAATTTCTCTTAGAAAACTATTTTCCAAAATTTGATTTATCTGCAACTTTCTAGAAACCTGGCCATTACATGTGGTGTTCTTGGTCAGTGACATTTTCAAACTATTTAATTGTAATAAACAATGCTAGTAGTCATTTCAAATTATTTTTCTGTTTATTAGACTATTCAGAAGTAGAATGTCTCAATTATTGCAAAATAAAAAAAAACTGTCAATTAATGGTATATTTTATGATTAAATAGCCAAATAAAATGACATCTGATATTTTATGTATCTTTAATGTTAAAAATTACCTGATTTATTCAATTTAGGATTAACTTTTATACTACAAAATGGTTTTGTGTAAATAATTCATTGTAGATATGGAAAAGGAACATTTATAAGGTTTGGGAGAAACTTCTCTTAAAATTCCTCCCTACCTTAACATCATTTTTTAGGTATAAATTGGATTTTTTGCAGGATTTGATCAGCTTTTGTCTTTTATTATTTACCCCTTAAACACAGTTGAAAAGGAATGCAGGTATGAAGAGCTGAGCACTTGTCTTAAATTAAGGATGAAAAATGTAATCATTTTATTTTTCAAGTTGGAAATATTTTGTGGACCCTTATGAAACTGAGAATGATTATTTTTATTTGCTTAGTGTTGAGATCTGTATTAAAATTTGCTTAATATTGCACCAAAGAATCAACTTTTCATAACTGAATGGAGTGCTACAGTTAGAAAAGTATTGTTGTTTTCTGTTTGCTTCATCATCTGAACCTTTAAATAGTACTTTAGACTATAGTGGAACCTGCCTTTGAGTTCTTGAAGGCAGAGAAGTAGTGGTCATTTCTTGCCTGCTCTGAAATGTTTAACAGATAAAATCTGTCAGTTGTATAGGCTGGTTTTCAGGCGAGTGCTGGTTCATGCTCTCTGAGCCTTCCTAAATGATCCAGCTTGGCCAAAGATTCGGGACGCTGCACTTTTCTAATCGGAGTTTGTTTACTTTTAGGAGTGTGCAGACTGGTGCCTAAAATGGAAGTAGATATTAATGGAGAGTCCAGAAGTACCCTGGCCACCCTGCCATTACCCGTGGGCGAGGCCAACTCCCCGGGAAAGGCAGAGGCAGAGAAGCCCCGCTGCTCCAGCACACCATGCTCACCGATGCGTCGGACTGTGTCAGGCTACCAGATCCTCCACATGGACTCTAACTATTTGGTTGGCTTCACAACTGGTGAGGAACTCCTGAAGTTAGCCCAGAAGTGCACTGGAGGTGAAGAGAGTAAGGGAGAAGCCATGCCTTCCTTGCGTTCCAAACAGCTAGATGCAGGACTCGCGCGTTCCTCTCGTTTGTATAAAACCAGAAGTAGGTACTACCAGCCATATGAGATTCCAGCTGTTAATGGCAGGAGGCGAAGGCGGATGCCCAGCTCAGGAGACAAGTGCACTAAATCTTTACCTTACGAACCTTATAAAGCCCTCCATGGGCCTCTGCCTCTTTGTCTTCTTAAAGGTAAGAGGGCACACTCCAAATCCCTGGACTACCTCAATCTAGATAAAATGAACATCAAGGAGCCAGCTGACACAGAAGTGCTACAGTACCAGCTTCAACACCTAACCCTCAGAGGGGACCGTGTGTTTGCTAGGAATAATACATGAATAACTTGCAGAGAGTTTAAACCAGTTTAGGTTAGCCTACACTTGGCTAGAAAAATCCACTGCTGTACTCTGTACATGACTCTTCACATTATAGATGGTTATATCAGCTAAGTGTTCCTGGAACATAAAAATTGTCTGAATCAAATTTTGAATACAGGAATGAAAACACAGATACTTGGGAAAATCATTCTAGACCACGCAACTGCAAAGAAAACAGAATGTTGACCATTGGTTTGTATAGCTCTTTAGCTAGGAAAAAAGGCTTTGGTACAGTAATACCATCTTTACGGTTTTGACACTCAGATTGGGAATGTTAACTGCTTGATTGTTACTGACTTGGTATGATTCATTAGAAATTTATATCTTAAGTACTCGAGTACTACTTTAATCTCTGTATTTTACTATAAAATGTATGTAATGATTTGTTTAATGAAATTGAGAACTTGAACATTGCTGAATTGGACCACTTTTTATTTTTAAATATTGAGTTTAAATATTTTATAACTGGTTTTGCACTGAAAAAATAATCAACCTTTCAGATTGACAAGAGAATAATCTTTCTTCACTTGCCTCAGTAATATTATTGAGCAATGAATTTTTTTATTTCCGCATGGAAAGTTATGGATCTTCTCTATGGTTGTAAAATATTTCTTTATAGTGTTATTAAAGTGTATCTTAATAAAATTAAATTTGGGATACAAAGTATTTATTTTACAATGAGTGGGGGGAAGCTTTTCCAGAAAGTTTCCAATATGAAGTTTTCATAAGTTGAAAAAGTTTCCTTAGTGCTTATTTTCTAATTTAAAATTCATCTGGAACTTTAATATGGAAAGGATTCTTTTAATTGTGGATTATAGGCATAATACTGTTTGCATCTGAATGTTCTGTAAGTGAATGGAACGTTAATAGATGAACTTATGACTTCTATCGAATGCTTAAACTAAGTATGAAATGATACCATTCAGCATGACATTGGGTCATTCCAGTTTTAGTTCTGTGCAGCACAAACACCCATTGAAATTCCAGTTTCTAGGATTAGTGTAGGAGCCTAAAGTGCTCCTGCAGTTTTAATGGGTTAATCCTGGATTACTTAAAAATTTATGTCAATTGCACTGGTTTAATATGTTGCTAAAGGAGTAATGCCCTGGCTTTAGTAACAAATACAGCTCAACTATTCTTGAATATATTTTGCCAAGAAAAATGTATGTAACTTACCTTTTGTAAAAGTTTCAATTTTTTTTCTTTTTCTTTTTTTGACTCTTGAAGGTGCAATTTATTACTGAATTGGCATTTCTGGCAGCATAGAACTGCTTATTTTAAATTTTGTTCTGGGAACTGTGAGTTTCTTATGTATTAGCAATCTTGCTTATGAAATAGGAACATCTTTTAATTAATGAGTGGGCCATTCCTGGTGTAATTGTGACTTGTCTTTAGCCAGAATGAATGGCAAACTCTGTTTAGAACAGAGTGTTAGAAAACCCTAGGAACTCTCTTAATCAACATTTATTATACTTACACTGAGGCAAACCATGTGAAAGAGCCTTAGGTAAATTGGCCTGTAGCTTACCGAGTTGATCAGATTTCTTGGTGGGCTGGAAATTTTCAGCTGTTGTATATTTCAAAGTAAATTGCACCTTTGTAACATATTGTATTGACAAATGATCACTAAGATTAACTATATACAGTCATTAGTTTGACAAGAAATAGAATCCTGTCAGATGCCAAAGAGTTGGGATTTTTACGTTTAATGATTAAACATCGTTATTTATTGATGATTTACCCTGTGGAATTGTATTTCTAACTCTTTAACTATGAAATAAAAGGGTGATGTAAACTCACAGTGTTGTGTGGTGCTTTAAACGAGGGCCATCATCAGTAGTCTAATTACTGTTCAAGAGTTCCACCTCAGCACTTATTTTGGTGGTGGTTGTGTGGTATTCAGTTGATTCTGACTCATAGCAACCCTGGTGGCTCAGTGAGTAAGCGCTTGGCTGCTAACCAAAGGGTCGGCAGTTTGAACCCTCCTGGTGGCTTCATGAGAGAAAAGACCCTGCTATCTGCTCCCGTAAAGATTACCGTTTAGGAAACCCTGTGGCAGTTCTGTCTTGCAGGGTTGCTATGAGTCACTTATTTTTAGGCCCCATTTTTGTGAAAAACCTTCAGTTGTGTACTCATTGACATTTCAAGGCAAAGGATATAATCATGGCAATGATACATACTCAGTCTATTAGGAAACAACTGTGTGCCTGGGAAATCTGCCGCTGCCCATGCACCTGAATAACTTCTCAGCTAAATTAAAAAAAAAAAAAAAAAGTAGCTTTTGTTTTGTTTTACGTAAACACAGGTGAAATATCTTGGCAAAAGTAAAGGTGGGATTAGAAGTGTAGATGCAGCATATTTACTGTTGTCTGGTTAGTAAAGACACATAACTTTAAATTTGGTTTTCTAGAAAGAGAGATTATCAAAATTCTACATCAGTGGTTTTCAAAATGCTTTTTGCCAAGCCCTTCATTAGTTCAGACTTGCTTTTTCTACCCTCTGTGGATTTGTGCTCCTGCGGTAGGTAGTATTCTGTCAGAAAGGATAGGCTGGGATCTTTTTCTAGCTGAAAAAGAAAATCTAATTTTCTTCAGCCTTTTAACAGTTTCTATTTTTTAACTTTTTATTCAATTTAATATTCCATACTAAGCAGGACACAATTTCAGAGGGAATATACCTAGTATTATCTTGTACTACCTTTCCTTTTATACATTGCAGCACAACATAGCCTTAAAAAAAAAAAATTTTTTTTTTTTTTCACAAAAATGTCATGTTTTAGGGGCTCAGCTGATGTGTAAAGTAGCAACAGTATGCCAATCCTTACCTCAATCTGAGGTGAGTTTCTTTTGTTCCTCTGACTTCATCTGGCTGTGTTTTGCACCTCTGGTTCTAGGGCTCCTGTAGCCAGCAGTCAGTGAAGAAAATGACTGTGGGGATGGTCCTTCCCAGTCGGCAGGACCCCCAGATCTTCTGGACTCCAGCCTCCACTGGCTGCTATTCCAGGCCCATCTATCAAGTCCTGTCCATCGTACCTCATGCCCTGTCATAACTGTGTGTGTGTGTGTCACTATCTTTCTCCTACACTGAAATAATGATACCAGTATTTGGGATTCGGGCAGGTTTTAGGAAGATTCTAAGTTAAATTTTAAATGCAAATTGGTCTTTAAAGAAACATTTCTTGAGATCTTGAGAAAAGCAATCCATTTTAACTTATTTTCTCATTTATCTATGAAGGAGAATATTTCTAACATACTTTTGTCTTGGGAAGGCTTTTATTCCATTATAACCGTTGTAAGTTTTTTTTTTTAAGGGAAATTTTTAAATGACTCTGGCCTGAGTGGTTTGTTCTCAATCAGAGAAGATAGGAGGAATATCAAGCAATTTATAATTAAATGCTCTAGAATAGTTGGGATGGAGAGAGAGCAAGGATGTACATTAATGTGGAGAGGACAGCAAGTATTAAGTAAAATCGCCTTTTTAGACGATATAATTTGATTAGGGAAATGGATAAGATTGTTTTGGAAATATAATGTGATTATAACTAGAAGTGGAGGCTGTCAGCACGATGGGCTTCACTTTGTGATGTGTAAGAATTACGAAATGGACTTCTTTGATATTTTACATTAGAAGTTAAGGATTTTTCTGGCTGAGCAGAACACTACTAGAAGCAAATCAAGAGAAAACTGTATTTAATTTGTTATTTTGAGTTTGCTGAGGCTCTAGGACATCTCTTTACTTCAGCCAGAAAGGGTGCTGAATCTGTAGTCTCGTCATGGTGATACGGCTTTGGGCAAGGTTTTATTAAATGATTTCAGAAGAAACATCTGAACTCAAATCTCCTGAACTTTGTTGCTTGTGATCTTGGGGTTGTGTTTGATGTACAGGTTTATGGGTGAACACAGGATAAGAAAAGGGAACTTTTTAAACAGAAGAGCACAGCATCTACTGAGATAGAAGAGAGTAGTACCCAGTTGGTGGAAGCCTTCAGTGATGATTGTTTCTGGAAAGAAGAGCTTTGATGTTACTGCTTTTATGGAAAAGTTGGCGGCCCTTTCAAAGTCCTACTGAAGGCTATCAAGAAAGGGTTCTTACTGTGTGACTGTGGGAAGAGGAGAGAATTTGGGGCCCATGGTGTTGGCCCGTAGTCTGATTAACTAGGAAGAGGATTCTTCACCAAACTTTTATGTAAAGGTTACACATGGAAATACATGTTTAGGAGACTTAATTCTCTGTCCTTGGCCAGTGTTTCAGTGAAGGAAAGGAATTTATAAGTTCTTGAACTTAACTGAAATTCAGATCTTGGTTAAGTGGTAAGAGCTGGGGTGGCAAATACTGAGCATGTGTACTACTATACTGCTCACCTATGCATGTGGCAGATATCACCAATCCATCAGAGCACAGTCTTTCCCAGCATCCAGATGTGACCTCATTGTCCTTCTTAACCTAGCACTTGAGGCAGCTGTAACAATCTGTTGCATTGCATAGGAGGTAAAACCTGCCCCCCCTGCTTGCCATGGCTTACAGTGTGAATTGAAAAGTCATCTGAACTTTGCTGAGTAGGAGTCCATTCTGGATTCTATCTTATAACCAGAGAACAGGGGAATGGTCTCTACCACCATCACCCACAAGACATATACTAAACACATACAGCCAGGCACTCTGGGGACAGAGGGTTCAAGATAGAGTTTTTTCCTTCAGGGACATGCTTCTTACTGGCAGAGGAGATAAGATAGAATAAGCCACATGCCAGGTGAGTGTTTTGCAGAAAAAATAGCAATTTAAGAGAGGAGACTTAAATCCTCTGGGGCTGAAATCTGAGAAACAGCAATCTTGTTCATTTTTCTGCAGTAGCTTGGCCAGTTTATTGGTGCTTACCTACATAGCTGATGTGTATAGAACTTGAAATGTAAGACTTTTTTTTTCTCAAATGTACCTTTGTAGGGAAGTTTGGAGGACTAAAACTTTAGGGAAGGCAAAATCTTAGCAAAATAATTGGTTCTGAAATTGATAATGGTGTGCCAACAATGTTTACTTGTTATCTCCACCTGCCCCCATGGTGGCCTGCTAAGATGTACTGACACAGTTTCTAGAAGACAAGGGTTAGGGTGGAGGGTAGTTAAAGAACTGAAGCATTGGAGCTGGGAGCCAGGGGAGGTGAGGGGTATGAGAATAAATCAAAGGGTATTTTAGAGATTCTCTCTTTGCACAGCCCTTCTCTTCATCCTGGTTGCTTAAGGTCAGAAGTACATTTATAAGTGTATCTTTTTGACATAATTTGTATAAGAAATCAAAGTCCATAAAAAGTGTTTTGCTTAAGAAGTCTCTTAATATGGATCATCTTTTGAAATGATCTCTGTGTTTTCTAATATATATAAAATTCGAGTTTTGCTAGTCCTATTAATATTTCACATATATTTTCAATGTCACGCTCATTAAAATGTAAAGGATTAGGATACGTATAAGATGGAAATACTATTTTGTGGTAGGCCATATAAAGTAATCCACTTATAGTTCAAAAGATATCATTAAGCATGACAAAATGATTTTTTTCTTTTTAGGGAAAGGGCGTACTATATTGCATTTGGTATAACATTACCTAACTTCTTTTTTCCCCTAGAAATTTATTTAATTGTTTGCTGGGACAAGCCCTCGAAGTCAATAGATAGAGATTGTGCTTTTTCTTCAAATTTTTAGTCTTTCCTTGCTTTTTTGAGGAACCTTTTGACTAGACTAGATACTAGAGAATAAACAATTGTGAAAGCATGAATTTCCACACCAGACTGAGTGTCTCACTATAGAAACCATAGGAAATGCTGAAAATAATAATTGTTCCTAATTTATTAATTAGAGTTGTAAGAGCTGTCTCATTTGTGTTATGCTATATATATAGTTCAACTAGTAATGAAAGAAAGTTCCTTTGTATAACGTTGACAATCAGATATAGTGATCTTGTTGTTAGTTGCTGTTGAGTCATTTCTGACTCATGGCAACCCTAATGATCTTGTTGTTAGGTACTGTCGAGTCAGTTGCAACTCATAGCAACCTCATGTAC